ATGGCATTGATCAACTAAAGAAACCAGTTATTGAAAGTTGCTTGTAGCATTGGAATCATTTTAACGAAAGTACACTCTTTTGCAGGTTGTACACTTCAACCTGAAGGATAATTCTCCAGAGTTCCACAGAGCCAGTCTTTCTGAGGTGAGTTTATCAAAGAGGGTATTCTGGTCCTTTTACAGTGTGGCATCTTTTTAATTTTTTGTATACATTGATTGTTGCAGTCTATGGATTCATATGTAGCAGAAGAAAGAGTAGGATTTGGAGAACCAAGTCCAGGAACCGAAGTTTATTTCTGTCCACCACATAAAAGAATCACAGAAATGCTCAGCAGACTGCTCTCCAAAGACCAGACCGATATACAAAAGTCAACCGACAACGGGCTCATCGGCGTGGTGGTCTGGCGCAGACCTCAGCCTGCTGCCGCCACGTTGCCGCCTCACCATAAACACCATAGAAAAAACACTCTCTCATCTAGAAGACAAGAAACTATCAGCACCAATACAAATTCAAAACAGTTGCCTCCACCACCAGATCATGGTGGTGATGGTGATGATGATGATGATGATATTCCACCGGGATTTGGTCCCGGAGTTGTTGCCCGGGATGAGGATGACCTGCCCGAGTTTAGTTTTTCCGGCAGCGGGTCAAATTCAAATTCTGCCCAAGTCAGGCAGCTTTCAAGAATGGTTCAGTCTAATAATACTCCTAGACCTGTAGCTCATATGAGACATCTTGTTCATGAATATGGTCAAACCGGAAATAATAATAACAATAATAATAATAATAATAGCAATAATAATAATGGTAATAATAATACACACTGGAATGGAAATAGACCTTGGAATCGTGATGAGGACGATGATATACCGGAATGGCAACCGCAACAGCAACTCCAAATCCATCATCAGGCGGAATTGCCTAACCATATGGTCAACCAAGTTAGACCCATGATGGGACCACCTGTTATGCATGTACGACCGCCACCTAATTTAATGCAAAATGTATGGATGCAACCGCCTGGCCCTCATGCTCTTCTGCCTAATGCCGCCATGCCAGCCCGGCTTTATGGTGGGCAGTGGCGCCCGGAGGAGCCGAGGGGTAGAGGTTTTTGATTGTTGTAGATAGTTAGCTTAGGTTTAGCTTTGCTTTTTCTTTTTTGTGGTAGTTGAGTTTTGTAACATTTTACTTTGTGTACTTGAAATAATGTTTAGTATATTATGCTAATCATTTAGGATCTATCGTTTTGTATTTTGGGCTTTTGTTGGATGGTTAGAGATTTTTTCTTTCTTCAAGTTTTCAACTCTTTTATTGCAAATCAGCCCGACACTTATTTTTTAACTTAAATAAAATGGATTGTTTTATGATCCAGAAGTTGATACAAGATTATGGTCATTGATTATATACGAACCAAAGATAAAGCCTAGGGGTATTTAGTGTTGACGTGGTGTCTCTTAGCCCAAGTGGTCGAGGGCTCAACTCTGGATGCAGTTAGGAGTATATTAGAGGGTGCATGACTCATCACAAGTGAACATCAATGATATGATATAACTCCAAATTCACCCTTTTATCAAAGGGGTATTCATATTAATTTCCCATTTTGCAATTTCTAAGGTCTACGTGATATTTTGCAAAGTACAGTAAACAAGGTTCGCCTACTTTGTGTTCTTAATCATTACGCTATGCCAAAATCAATCCCTTCATCCCCACATATGGGAATCCATAGCTTTCACCCTCAATTTACATCAAATGAAAACCATTGAATATCACGAGAAAAACTGGCATCTAATGGGTTTTCGATAGTCTCTAAGTTCCAATTATCAATAGAGAACTTCTATTGGTTTCTCCCTAATTAACATAACAAAAATCGTCGGTGGCCTCTCCATCCATATTTGCGAAAATCATCCATATTTGCGAAAATCACAAAGAAACCCTAACACCCTGTTCCTGAATTTAAAATTGAGGGGAAGGAAAGGAAGGAAAAGTAAGTAAAGGAAATGAAGGGGAACTTTCCTTCCATTTCCTTTCCTTTCCCTCACAAAGAATCCCTAACATATATGTATAGTTATGTACCATGTAAGCTACATGGTGTAATGTAACGTCATTTTTCTTAACTTCGTAATTTATTAACAATATTCACATTCAAACACTAATCAACTTTATAAGATATTAAAACAGGTAGTATCTTGGCTAGTGGTAGATGCATTTTATGTATCATTTAGTGTGTTCATTACATGGATTTGCATTGCATTTAAGTGTTATGATTCATGCATTTTAATATTTTTGGGACATTTATTCATATTGGTAGAATCTTGTCATTTGCATATTTTTTGGATGATTTACAAAGTGTTTGAAGGTTTGACTATGCTTGGGATGATGCTAGGGGGTTGCAGTCCAAATTTCAAGAAGATCGGACCAAGAACGAGAAAGTTGGACATGGGAGGCTTGACTCGGTCGAGTCACTCTTTTACTTTGAGCTGACTGGATCAAGTTGGGACAACTGACAATTTTTTGGTCTTTAAATACCACTTTTCATCAGATCTGCTATCCATCTCGACTTTGGTCGCAATCAAGACAAATTTTAAAAAAGAACTTTGAAGATCTCATCCAGAAACAACTTTTTGGTATTTTATTAGTTTGATTAACACTTTAAACTTGTTGAATTAAACTTTTGATTATCTAAAAACTCTTATTTTCTGGTTTCTTGTTCAACATTCGTCTGTGTGTGGTTGATTTCGTTGGATTGAAGTTTGGAATCATTTTTAATCTAGTGATTCATGTTTTGTTTAATTTAAAGTACTTGTGTTTATACTTTATTCATGAATGACCATTTGAATTAGGTTGATTGTTTCATAAACTAGTAACAAACAATAAATTGGTTCTTTGTTTGGATTTAATCTCAACATAAACATGAAATCATATGTTTTTACACTTCCGATCATAAGACGTACCAAAAATATTTGGAATACTAGTACAAAACTTAATGCAACTTTTCAACTGAATCTCAGAGCATGATTAAATTAAGGTAATAAAGTTAGGTTTATTTAAAAAAAAACTTGCTTTTAACTAAATAATTTGACAAATAAAATGACACCAGAGCTCGTTAGTGTTGCTTAGTAGTTAGTACCAACTTTTATTAATAATGATTTAAACGTTAATTCCAACCTACATTATAGATGAGTAGAACACGAAACCGAATTTGATTCCTTGATTTTCTAAAAAACTAGTCTTTTTTTCATGCTATTACTTTAGTCTTTTGAATAACAAAAGACCTCCATTTGTTACTTTTTATATTTTATTTATCATGTGAAGATTTTATATCTTACAACAATGAGGTATTTAACAATTTATCTGTCTTAATCCACCCTGATTCAACCCTATATTGGATTCAACCCTGCATTCACTTACTATCTTTTGAACAAATTACTGAAATCGTCCCTGTGGTTTGGCAAATACTACTGGTTTGGTCCCTAAGTTTTTTTTTACACTCGGACCGTCCCTAAGTTATGATTTTATTGCGTTTATCATCCCTTTTAGAAATGAAAAGACTATATTACCCTTTGTATTTTCTTTTTTTAGTTTTTTTATTATCTTTTTTATTATTTATTGATTTAATAAAATCAATTAAGTGATTTATTGGGACCCAACTCCCACTTGCGGCACAACCACCACCGGTCATTGTTCACCGGCAATCACCACCAGTCACCAACACCACCACCATCCATTTATTCCGGCACCACCACCGCCAACGTAAACAGTTTCATCAGGTCATATCCAAAGATTAAATGCCAAGAATCAAAACTAGATCAAGATCAAATCCCAAAATCAAAACCAAATCAGAAAATCAAAACCCAAAGCCTACCCTGAAATCGTTGATGAAAGAAAAATCATATGCAATCCCAAAAATGAAAGACGAACCAAATCAGACAGAACCCAAAACCTACCCTCAAAATCGTTGATGAAAGAAAAATCATATGAAACAACCTCCTGCGTCGGTGGAAGGAAACAGCCGCCTGCAGTGGTGGAAGGAAACAATTCGATTTTCTCATTCTCTGATACCTTACTCCACCTATGGCGGTGATGATTCCTATTTCAGAAAATCACCCGGTCAGTAACATGATGGTGGTGGCTCTAACTTCAGTAAGACGGGGATGGTGATAGGAGATTTGAGATACAGGTTCAGTGAAGATCTTCGATTTGAGTTCCAGATCTTATATTGCAGATCTCCATTTTCGATTTAAGATCTCCTTCAGCAGTTCAATGGAGGAACGAGAGGGAAAAAATCACAGTGAGGGTGAGTGTTAGGGTACTGATGAGGGTTTACTGGTTTAGGGGGAAGAGATGATGGAGGTGGGTGTGGGGTGGCGAGTGATGGCGTATGGTGTTCGTCGGAGTTCTGGTTCCGCCAGATATGGTGGTGGTGTGTGGTGTTCTATCATCAGGCTTGATAATGGACAGGAAGAAAAAAAATAGGAGCGGGATCTATTGTTTGCTGGTGTTCTAGTCTCCTCGGAGTTTTGGTCTTGCTGGAGGCAAGAGATTTCCGATGGAGATGGTAGTGGCGTATGGTTGTTCACCGGAGAAGTGAGAACCTGGAATTGATTTCCATGGAGGTTAAGTGTTGGTGATGGGGATGTTAAGTGTAAGGATATAATTAGATGAGACCCATTTAATTAATTAATAATATAAATAACTCTAACAAAATAAATAAATGAAAAAGAAAATAGAAAAGGGTATTATAGTCTTTTCATGTGTAACAAGGATGAAAGACGTAATAAAACCAAAACTTAGGGACGGTCCGAGTGCAAAAAAAAACTTAGGGACCAAACTAGTAATTTTTACCAAACCATAGGGACGATTTCAGTAATTTGTTCCTATCTTTTGGTAGACAACTATACATATCCCTGATTTAATTTCTTTATTATAAGGGGTATTAGATGTATAGATGGCAAACTACAAGGACCAGAAAGGCTATATTCTTCTTCTATTCATTAGATCACCCTCTTTTCACAATCTACAAAGCGAAGTGGATGAGCTATGGAAACTGTCCTCTCTCCCTCACATTCTCGCGCCATATCCAATCATCCCAAGCTTTCACTCTTCAGGTTCTCTCATTTTATTTCTCTCTCTATATATAAAGCTATGTATGTATCTCATAGATATTATGTCAATGGGCCTTGTGTAACGAGTGCGTGCTTGTGTGTTCTTCAGGGACCAAGCTAAGATAAGTTCATCAAACCAAAAGATATGTAATTCTAACAAGAAATTCGTAGCTTGTTGCTGTGAATCTTCAGAACCCACCTCCCAAAATGGATTTTGCAGGAGGGATATTGTTCTATTCGGGTTTGCTGCTTCGGTTGCTACAGTTTTCCCAGTAGAAGGTAAACAACCATTAAAATTTCCTTGTTTCATCTTCTGCATTAGTTTGGCGTTTGATTTTCAATTTGTTTAAATTTTGTAGTCTAATGCGACAGAGTGAGTATTTTGTGTATGTTATAAGATCATCTTCCCTAATTTCCTTATAATTTTCAGGATCTGTTGCTGATGAAGAGATTAAAATGGTTCCAATAGTTGATGACCTAAATGCATATTCATATTTGATTCCATTGGAAATGCCTTCCAAGAACTTTTCCTTTAAATGGTTTGTATCTTATCTTCAAACCATGTTTAAGTTATAAATTTGCCCATTACCACCATTACACATAAATTCATGGTATTGATTTGGGTACACAAGATTCCTTTATATTTTGTAATAAATGATGTTTAAAAAATATCTAATGGAAGGAAAAAATAAATGAGGGAAGTCTCCTTTCTTTTGACTTTTTTCTATGAGTGTGGTTATCTATCTAATGGTTTTTCATCCTTTTTTCTTTTCAAGGGTGGAATCAAGAAAACCCGAACGCTACTCATCTGCAGCACCTCTTTCCCGTATGTTTGTAGCTTGCTTTCTTCCATAATTGAACCTTCATACTTGTGTGTGTGTGTGTGTGTTTACAGACATATATACATGCATACATACATACATACATATTGATGAAGAAAACTCTCCATTATGATACAGCTAACGCGCGACTACGGATTGTGGCTGAACGTGTTGATTTTTTTGACAATCTCATTCTTTCTGTAACGGTATTGACAACGAACTTTACTCTTAAAAAGTCAAAAAGTCGACTTAATTGATGAATTCTTGTAACTGAATCTCGCTCCTATTTGCATTATTTTTCAGATAGGTCCCCCAAATCCAATATTCTTGAAATCAAATGATAAGAGTACATGGGAAGCAAAGGATGTTGCTGATTCTGTTTTATCCGACAAGTCTGCTTTGGTAATTTACCAATTTACTTCATAAAGTTTAACGCAAGATATAGCAACGTACTTTCATTGACTTGTTTATTATACAAAAGAAATTTCACTGTTATCAAAGTATGGTGTCTTAATAAGAAAAAAGTGAAAGTACAATACTATATTTGGATTGATAACAACCATTTTAAATACTTTAATGAAATCTTAATATAATTTTGTGCATACAGCGTGTTACTTCGAGTCAACGCATGGCAGAAAGTTCGGTTCTTGATGCTCACACTTCAGAAGTAAGTTCTGGAAGCATTGCATTTTGTGTTAATTTTGTTTTTAATATTTATTCTTGTTTTGTATTATAGATTGATGGTGAACCATATTGGTACTATGAATACCTAGTTCGCAAATCCCCTACAAAAACTGTATGTTTCTCTTTATTTCTTTTCTTTCTTTCTTTTTTTTTTTTTTTTTTTTTTTTTTGTGCTGTAATTAGTATGGTTGTTCTTGCTCTAGCTTAAAAATATATATGCTAAAGGGTGTTTATTAATGTTAAAAAATACAGGTGACAGATTCAAGTATCTTTCGGCATTATGTAGCTGCATCTGTTGAACGCGATGGTGTGATAATATTTCTTCCTCTCTCTCTCTCTCTCTCTCTCTCTCTCTCTCTCTCTCTCTCTTTTTTCTTTTTTCTTTTTTCTTTTGGGTTAAGTGCAAGAAATAGCAACTTACTTTCATTCATATAATGCCTTAACTTGAAAAACAGTTAAAAGTACAATGTTGTAATAGAAAGAAATGAACAAGAATCCCAATGACATTACAGTTTGTTAACACACTCTGAGTGCTTTTGTGTAGGATTTTTATACACTTTGAATGCTTCAACACTGAACAAGCAATGGGACATGGTAATTGTCTCTTCCTCCATCTTTTCTTATTACTACTTGTCTATTTCCATGTTTAGATTCATATGAATAATACAAAATAGTAAATGTCTTGTTAGGGGCTTATTTCCAATTTATTTACTTGTTAGAGATCTTAATCGAGTTTGTTATTTTTTTTTTCAAAACAGATGGGGCCCGTACTGGAGAAAACCGTAGCTTCGTTTAGACTTCTCCCTCCCACTGAAAACTATGTTCCACCATACAAGGATCCGTGGAGATTTTGGTGATTAATTTGTAATCATTTTTTTTTTTGTAAAATTTTGGTGGGTTAATTAACCCTTGCAATGTTGCATTAGATTAGGGTTTTGAAACTGCAATCCCATAGCGAGTATGGCGTTTAGCTTCTTGTATTTAGTTTGATTTGTCAAATGATAATGTAGCAACCGTTTCAGTACCATTTGTTACACGAGACTAGACAAACTTTTCAAGGCTATTTTCAATTATGTTTCATTGATATGAGAGTCAGTCCAATGCTCAACATAAACGCTACCCACATAGTCAAATTACAAATGATGAAAGAAGCTACTTGAGTTTGACAATCCAACCCATTTTATCGTCCACAAGGCCCATTTGTACCCTTGTCAATGAAGAATAAAGTTGTTGCGATACAAGTCCTACACCATGGCTTCCGTAAGTCACACTGCACACACACACACACACACACATGATGATAATAATTGATATTAATGAAACACCCGAAACCAAACAGTGATTGGTGGCCCATAACTTAAAAAGGCTTATAATGGGCCCATATTCTCTTTTTACCTTTTCCCAAGATAAGTTATGCTACCCACCGGGGATACAACCACGGCTGTTCCTGTGCAAAAAACTTCATCAGCATCAAGCAACTCATCTACTGTTACTTCTCGTTCCTCAACCTGGGTATAGTCAAAATATTCCATTATTTTTTTGGATTATTGAAGGGGTATTTTAGACATTTGAAGTACCTGGAATCCTTCATTACGAGCCACATCAATAATACTCTTTCGTGTGATACCTGGGAGGATAGTCCCTTTTATATCTGGAGTAGATATAGAGTTTCCCTTTACCACATTATAGGATAACAATATTAGTTTATTTACAAAAAAAAAATAAAAAATGATTAGAACAATTTTTATATACCTTTACAATAAAAATATTACATGAGGAGACCTCTTCCAAATACTTCTTGTGCACACTGTCAAGATACAACACATCAGAATAACCTTTTGCTTTTGCTGCACCTTGCGCCTTTAATACCTACAAACATTATTTTATATAAAAACATTAGAAATCTTTTTATAAAAGATTTTTAGGGGTTGTTTCTTTTTACTTTCCGAGCTTAATGTGTTAAACACCCAATCTGGACAGCTATAAATGGTGATTTTTTTTTTATAAATAATCCGGACATAATGACATAATGGGTTACACCAAAAAACCTGGCTTAATGTATTAAGACACCAACCCTTTACTCATTTTCCTTCTTTTTTCCACCCAACTCATCTCATGTTAAAATCGATGCATACTGTGAAAACTGTTTGTTGGAGTGTAAGAGTAAAATGGTCATTTAGTCTCATTCAGACCGTTTATTCAGTTAAAAAAAAAAAAAACAGAGTTAGTGTATAGATCACTTTATCCATTCAGACATCATCACTCATTCAGCTACTTTACCAGAAACTAGCAGTGATAGTAGACATGCTTACCGCAGCATAGTTTCCAATCGTCTTTACACTTCCAGTTCCACCAGGGGTTGCACGATGCATTTCAGTTTCAATTATCAAGTTTATAGGCGATAAACCTTCCTGCATCAGAAAACTCATAGAAAGCAGACATAAATAACAAAAATCTTATGAAAAAAATAGACTCATTTGTAAACAACATGAACATACCTTGAAGTAATTACCAACAGGAGAAACATAGATCATAAAAGTATACTCTGGAGCTGGTGCAAGACCAAGTACACTTCCACTCCCTATGAGCAGTGGCCTTATATATAGTGAGCCTTTTCCAGGAGGGGGGTATCTAAAACAAGACACAAGATGCTATTATCAATTTATCATATACTAGTAGCATATTAGAATCTATGTGAAGTTATGTACAGAGTTTATATTCCAAAAGTAAACATATGTTACCCATCTTTCATTTGCTAATACAGTGTCCTTAACAGCTTGAATGAATTGATCAACAGAAGGAGAAGGCATACACATTCGTTCTGCCCCCATCATCATCCTTTTAGCATTTTCTTCAGGACGAAAGAGTAAAATGTTATCATCTTCTGTACGATATGCTTTTAGGCCTTCAAACAATCCCTATGCAATTACAAAAGGGAAAATTTTGATTTAGTTAAAGCTTACAACAATAGTAGAGTAAATTAAAAGATTCTGTAAGGGTTTTAAGAACTGACTTGGCCATAATTGAGGACTCCAGCACATGGGCTGAGCTCGATGTTCCCAAAAGGCACGAGCTCCCCTTTAGAGAAGCTCCCTCCTAGAGAACATTTCATGGTGTACATATGATCAGTATGCACAAGCCCAAATCCAATGGTGTCCCAATTAATGTCAACTGTATCACTTGGTACACTGCTGAGTTGAAGAAGAGTAGTTATTGTACAATCTCACAAAAATCTACAGAAACTCAGAGAAAACTGAACTTCGAACAACAGTTAGAAGAGGCACCTGACGGGAGAATTCACTCCAACAGCCGGTGCAATGTTAGTGCCGCAAGTGGTGGTGGTGGTATTCGGCAAATTAAAACGCGACTGATGTTGAAGCTGCTGCCATAGCCATAAATTCAGAAGAAAATCCGAATTTCAGTTACAACAGAATGTGACATCAAATTCGAAATTCAAAAACTGGACATGCTAGTTTCAATTTTGTAAAACATGATAATTATGACTAGAATCGATAATGAGAAAAGCTACAAATCCGAAAACTTAGATGACAAATCGCCAACAATCAAAACAACCATAAACCTACCTTGTTAGGAGGAAGAAAGGAAAAAGGAGTCGTCAGGTAGGGATTGCGGGAGAGAAGAGTAGCACTGGTCGTGTGTCTACGAAAACCACCGCCGATGGTGGTGGCGGCGTTTAAGAATACGGTGGAGGTCTCCATCTATTGCTCGAATTTGCCTCTTTTCGTTCGATTACTCTCTGTATTCAAGGTCGGAGGAGTCTGACTCATGCACCATTAATCGCAATTTATAAATGTATGTTACGAACAGGACGATAGGAGAAAGTAGACATGATTTTGTCCGTTGTTTTCTAGCCGTTGATCTTTATTATATCAAATCTGAACCCTTGTTTGTTGTCCTAAATCGTCATAGAATATATAGGGACGATGACAGAATAAAAATAAAAATAAAAATAATGGATAAAATGGCTAAATTGGCTAAACTTAAGGTTATAATCGATACCTGGGCTTAATGTCAGAAATGGAAAAGACCGAATGCAAAGTAAACAGGAGATGTTGTCTGGTTGGAAGTACTCTGGGCATTCAATAGAGAATCTGGCAATAGTCTCATAGGAATATTCACGAATATGATCATCCCTCTTAGTCATATTTAATTTGAGTTAATCACATGACGGTAATTAAACTTAAAAATATTATAAAAGATAATCAGTTTTAGTTTTAGTTTTAAAATTCATATGTGTCAGGATATGGGTAGACGGTATACCCCACGACACTATGGTGTTGTTTGTTTTTTGTCTGCAGATCTGCGTGACCACTTTTGTCTGCGCCGCACAGACCACGCGCAGACATATGCCTTCGCAGACCGTTTGTTTTTTGAAAGTGCGCAGACTTAAAGACATCTGCGCGAGGTCTTCTTGGCGCAGACATGCACCAATGTCTTCTAAGGTCTTCACAAGTCCAATAAACCTAAACCAAAACAAATAAAGAAAAACATACATATTTTTTTTTCTTTCAGCACCTCCCAATCCATCATATTGAAAGTATAAGTTATTATAACTTTTTTATTTTATGTTTATTTAATTATTAATATATATATCTGTTTATTGATTTTTTTCAATAATATTAAAAGAAAAAAAATAGAACATTAAAACCATGTTTCTACTTTTATGATGTGCGACTAGAATTTTAAAAAAAAAATGTGATATGCCTATTGTTTAAGACCAAAACAATGAGTTATATTAAAGTATTTATAAAAGCATTGCATTTTGATTCTAATATGAATTATATAAGCCATTAATAATTTTTGTATTTATAAAAGCATTGCATTTCGATTCTAATATGAATTGTTATTGTAAAACCATTTTTTTTTTATTGTATGACTAATTTAGTTGCATGAATTTTACTTTGAGTGTTTTATGACTATTATTATTAAAATTTTGATGTTGAAAAATCATTTAAGTTTGTAAAATCATTTTATTTAAAATTCAGTTTATTTCAGCAGCCTGCAGACTTTAAAAAACAAACAATCTTCCTATTGTAGACTGCAGACGTTTGGTCCACCTCTTCAGCTGCAGAGGCTTGCAGATATGGTCCGCAGACTGCAGACATTTTGGCTTCAAAAAAACAAACAGCACCTATGTAGTGGTGTGAAGTGGCATTGTGGAAAGGTGGGTAAAACCACATCACCTCGGGCGCATGTGTGCGTTATCCTCCACAAATGAAGCGAAAGCACCTTGCAACAACATATTATTTCTTCTCTTTCTTTTTTATATCCGGTGTTGACATTTATAAAGTACAATATCCAAACACTTCATATTTATTAAACTAGGAGTACCTCCACTCTACGATATGGTGGAATGATATAATATAACACTGTAAGGGGGTGTGGTGAGGGAGGGCGCCCTCCCTTACCTTTAACTTAATTAATCCCTTGCTTTGGGCCCTCAATTTTAAGGGGTCCCATTTAACCCAATTTAGTAAGTTTCGATTAGGCTTAAATGATTAATTAGTTGAATATTACTTAAAAGTGCAAAGTAAATAGGAGATGTATATAAAATGCGACTATGGACTGAATTTGCAAAATGGATGGCTGTGGACTATTAAAATTTATAAGTCACTGTATTTAACATTCTAATTAAAAGTTAACTAACTCCAAATACATATTTAAAAAAATGAACATAAGTTAATGTACATAATTATTTAATTTGGTGTTATAAACCGGAAGATGCTAAATATTAGTTTAAGGTAATAATGTGTACACTAAATATAGAGAGTGTGTTTAGGTCCTTATTGAAGAGTCAAGGAGATTACAAAAGTAGGACAACTTTTACTGTAATATAAGGTGAGTGCAATATAAGGTGAATACAAAGGGCCTCAAAATTTTGGTTTGCTTAGAACCCCAAACTCATTGAGCTGCCCCTGGGTGTGGTCTCCCTATATCGTGCAATTTCACTCTGTGACACTATTTCTCTTCTTTCTAGTTTTAAAAGTATTACAATGCTTTATTTATATATATATATATATATATATATATTCAAATGAGAAAATTTTGTGAGAACATTTGAGAACAATTTTCAGTCATTTATTTATTAATATTATTATTTAGAAAAGAATACCCCACCCCCTATATTATATCTATCACTTTCATAATATTACATCTCATAGATGCTCCACTGAGACTGTCGGACCTCCAAGAGCCGTCGACGGACCACCACCGCCGGCCGCCAGACCACCCTTGGCTATCACCCACACGTCGCCACATTTAATCTTCGTGAATCGTCGCCCTGAACCACCTCCGATCGTGTCTTCTCTTCCTGAACAAGCTCCCTCTACCTCTCATCTTCCTCTATCGGAAAAGCACCTCGTCGGAAACTACCTTTGCAGAAATCACCTCCTTATCGTCTAATTTACGATTTCGTTTTCATCACCAGATCTGGTTTAATCAGTTACAGATCTGAAGTAGAAGGCAACCAGATCTAATTTTGCCACCGCTGCCACGATATAGGCGTTTTTCTATCTGCTTTCACCAACCACCGTTGAACTGAGATTTGTACCCGAGGTTTGGATCTTAGAAAAATGTGTCAACGGAGAAGAAGTTGAACGGCACCATCGATGATCAAGGTGAAATCATGGCTTGCGCCATTGATGAAAAGCCATTGTTGTTGTGATGTCTTGAGGTTATAAAACTTATCTTTTCTTTCATAATAAATCCAAAAAACTAACATATACCATTTTTTAGAGTAGACTGAATTTAAGAAATCTGATACGTTTTTTGTAGTTAATGAGAGTGAGGGTGGATTAACATTTACGAATTAGTAGGTGGAAAAAGCTATTTATAATATATAGGAAAGGTACATTGTTCATCTTCAAAAAGCTGATAGTTTACTCTAAAGATAAATAGTACAAAGCTTTTTGAATTCAAACTATAAAATATGATTATATTTAATTAGAACCATATATTCACACACAGCCAAGAATATAAAAATATAGTCATTATTAAGCATGTAATTGACAAATAAAAAAACAAAGCCATGATATTTTATTCTCCTTAAATCCTCATGCAGGCACATCGCACATTATATTAGTAAAATAATTAAATCAACAAGAGCGTATGTATGTTCATCAATAGCCATTGAACCTCTCATATTTTGAGTAAAATAATTTGTTTTGCCATTGAACGTCCCATATTTTGAGTAAAATATTTTCTTATATAATCATTGCAGCAAATCAATTTTACCCTAATTTAAACATAGATCTTTAGGTTAATGTAAATTAAAAAAAAGGACAAGATTTGTTTTTGTGTTCTCGTTAATCACATTTGATTATATGTATTTAAGCATATATAATTTATGTTCACAAGATTCGTTTTAACGTTCTCGATTCCGTTGTTGCTCTTTGTCCATGTTAATCATATGTAATTAAATACAAAAAATCACATGTGATTAAATACGTTAGAAAAATTATTGAATCGATAACGCAAAAACGAATGTTGTCCATATAAACCATATGTGAGTAGGTACATATAATCATATATGAGTATATACATAAGAACAACTATTGATCCAAGAACGCGAAAATAATTTTTTTTCCACATGAATCATATGTGATTAGATACATAGAATTACATGTGATTAATTACACGAGACTAACTTTGAATTGAAAAAGAAAAAATGAATTTTGTCCAAATAAATCATAGTGATTAAATACATATAATCACATGTGATTATATGTATCTAATCACATATGATTTATGTACACAAGTTTCATTTTCACATTCTTGATTCAATAATTGTTCTTGTATTTAATCACATGTGATTATACGTATCTAATCACATATGATTTATGAACAATATTCGTGTTGCGTTTTCGATTCAATATTTGTTTTTTTGTATTTAATCACATGTGATTATATGTATATAACCACATATGACATATGTGTTCAAGATTTTCTTTTTTGTTCTTGATTCAAAAGTTGTTCTATTCCACATTAATCGTATGTGATTAGATACATATAATCACATGCGATTAAATATTTTCCACATAAATCATATGATATTAAATACAAATAACCATATGTGATTAAATACACGATAAAAGCAATTGAACCAAGATCGTGAAAACGAATCTTGTCCACGTAAACCATATATGATTAATTACATATAATCACATTTTTTAAATACACGAGACTAATGATTGAATAAAAAACGTGAAAAATAAATATTGTCCATATAAATCATATATGATTAAATACATATAATCACATATGATTATATGTATCCAATCATATACGATTTATTTGGAGAATATTCATTTTTGTGTTCTCAATTCAAAAATTGTTCTTTGTTCACTTTAATCACATGTGATTAAATATAGTTAATCACATGTAATTATATGATTCTAATCACATATGATTTTATTTGGAAAAAATGTATCTTATCTATATAAATCATATGTAATTAGATATATATAATCACATGTGATTATATACACGAGAACAACTATTGAATCAAGGATGCGAAAACAAATCTTGTCCACATAAATCATATGCGATTAAATACATATAATCACATGTGATTAAATACATGATACCAACTACTCAATCAAAACCGCAAAAATAAATATTGTCCACATAAATCATATCTTATTAAATACTAATAATCACATGTGATTATATGTATCAAATAACATATGATTTACATGCAGTGATGGAGCTAGAAGTTTTGATTTGGGGGGACCGAAAATAGAATATGTATAAAAATTGAAGAACGGGGGGGCCAAAGTCAAATTTTATAGTTT